CAAAAAGAAAAAAAAAAAAAAAAAAAAAGTGGTCTATCCATAAACGCAGCACTACTCAGTTATACAGAGGAAATACTGACACAATTAAAATGCGCGTATGGCTGTACAATGCTTGTACACTGTGCAAGTATCCATTTTGCCTTGAAAATACTGTGTCTGCTAGTGAAGGAAGGCAGACACAGAAGGTCACATTCATGCAAAATATGAGAAAAGGGAAATACACAGCGACGGGGAGAGAAACGCGGAGTAACAGGTAATAAGGGGGGATTTCCTCCTGAGGTGATGGAAATATTTCAGAGGTAGGAAGAGGCAGTTGCTGTAAACATTGTGAATGTACTAAAGGTGATGGACCAGTCACTTTAAAATGTTTTTTTGTTATATGAATTTCATCTCCCTAGAGAAAGGTAGAATATATATATATTTACAGACAGAGGCATATGTCTGTAAAAATATCACAACAAGGGAACAACAAGCATCAAATTCAGGATGACGTTTATGAAGAAAAGATGGGATGAAGGGTGCCTATGCAGGGAACAAAATTGGATTGGTAATGTTTGTTATTTCTTCTCTTTCTCCTCCACCTTCTGCTCCTCCTGACAGTCCTGACAGACTGAACCCAGGGCTTTTGCACTGAGCTATATCCTGAGCCCTTTTTATTATCATTATTATTATTTTAATCTTTTTGAGACAGGGTCTCGCTGTGCAGTTCAGGCTGGCCTTGAGCTCACTTTGTAGCCCAGGCTGGTCTTGAACTCACAATGATCCTCCTGCCTCAGCCTCCCGAGTGCTGGGATTACAGGCATGCGCCACCACTCCCGGCTATTATTTTTGTTTTAAAACAGGGTCTTGCTAAGTCACTAAGTTGTGCAGGCTGGGCTCAGACTTATAGCTTTCCTGCCTCAGCCTCTCAGAGTGCTAGGATTACAGGTGTGCACCACTATGCCCAGCAGTCATGCTGCAGTTCTTAAACTGTGTGCTGGTATAGCAGTGTTACATAATTCACCGTACGTCTTAGAATTTCTGAAATTCACTGAAAAAGACTGTCAAAAAAATGTTAGGGCTAGAGATCCAGATTAGGGACCCAATCGACATGTGTGATGCAGAGCTACTACGTGGAATTCTATACACACCTATCTGTTAGGGTAAATCAAGGCACGGCTGAGACCACCAAGGCAGGCAGAGTGTAAGCAATATGCGAGGATTTATTGCAGGCCAGGTGCACCCAGGCCAAAGGCGAAAAGACCGTTGGCCCCGAGCAAGGGGCAAGAGCAGGTTTTATCGGGGAGGTTAGGTATGTGAGGGGGGCATTGCTGGGGGGTGCAAAATTTTGGGTCTCTGAGTAGGGGGTCTGAGGCTGGCTCATAGAGCGGTGTGGGATACAGGAGGGTGCTGGCAGGCACAGGGTGTTTCTTGTGGTTTTTTTGCGGAATCAGCCCCCTGCAGATTGAGCTGTGTGGGAAAGCTGGTAGCTTCCTGTTAACACTTTGCACCTACAGGTGTGAATAACAGATCTGCTTGGGACGTTTTTCTCTCCTAGCTGGGTGGGGGTCTAGTTTGGAGACCTGACACTGTGCTAACACTCCTTCGATAATATATCCCATCCTGGCCCCGCAGTATCTCTGTAAAACAGCCCATGCTCTGCGGAGTCTCTGTTGCTGCACTCTTCCATCTCTTCCATTTGCAAAGCTCAGTCCCGGGCTCTCCCATCCATTCCAGAATGTGCAACATGGTAGCGAGCAGCCTTAACAGAATCCGGCCCTCTCTCCTTCAGAAAAGCTAATCTTGGTGTCATAACAAACACATCCAATTTCACAATCAGAATTCTCCAGAGCTGGGTCAAAGGACAGATGAATGAAAGAGAAAGCTTCTGAAGTATCCTGCCCTTTGGGAGCAAGGTTCTAAGGTCCCAGCCTTACTTTCTGAGCCTGCTGGTGACCCAAACAAGCCAAGTTACTTCTGCAGGCAAAGGATTTGGTCCTGAATGAAGGACTCCTGCCCTGGCTTCCTGAGCTCTGACCTTTCAGCTCTAAGAAGCTACAGTTCTGTGCATTTTATAGCAGGTAAGGCCACCGGTCCCTGGAGCAAGCAGCGTGGACTTGGGGCCCTAGCTGCGCCCAGTAGCACAGGTGTAGGTGATGGGAGAGGAGGGCTGGCCAAGGAGGGGGCTTGGGGTCAGGAGCAAGGTGGAGAAGGAGGCTGGGCTGTGTCAGTCCGGGCTCTCAGACGGGCTTGACTCACCCGATGTAGATGCAGATGGCCGCCAGGAAGACGGACCTCACAGTCCCAATGCTCGTGCTGTGAATATGAAGGACCCTGGGAGTAGTATACCTGCAGAGGAGGGTCTGCATGATGCGCGGTGCCTGGCGCTCCTCAGGAGGAAGTGCCGGTCCTAGGTCTGCCTAGGCGTTATAGCACCTGGGCCCCTTCAGCAAAGGTGCCTCTAGAGCAGAAGGAGGGGCCCTGAACACAGCTGCCTGTGCCTCTGCTTAACCCAGCCTGGCCCTGAGCACCGCGCCGAGCCGGCTGCCCACCCTGGCCTCGTGCTGAGGCCCGCACGAGTGAGGATGCGCGTGGGGGGAGGGGCGTGCACATTTTGTATCGCCACAAACCACAGAAGGTTGAACCACTTTGTGCTTCCACAAGCAAAGCAAGCGTGTCCAGGCTGCCCGTTTTGTTCTTTTGGCGGGTACTGGGGATTGAACCGAAGGCCTTCACATTAGGCTACCTCCCTAGTCCTTTTGAACTGTTTTACTTTGAGACAAGGTCATTCTAAGTCACCCAGCCGCCCAGGGCTGGGTCTGAACTTGTGACGCTCCTGCCCCGGCCCTCCCAGCGTGCTAGGATTGCAGGTGTGCGCCGCCGCATCTGGCTGTGCGCACGGCTTTGGAGAGGGTCTTGATAAACAAGCGGAGGCCGGCAGGGTGCGGCGGACGCGTGAAAGGGTCTGGACCGCACGGTGGGGGCACTGGCCGGAGGGACCGGGACGTCGGCGCGGAGCAGCGGGGAGACTCTCAGCGCTGCGGGGCGTCTGCGGTAGAGGGGCGGACACGGCGCGGGCTCAGCGAACGTGAGCTCGCAGGGGCTCGACGGTGGCTCCGCGTGAGAGAGAAAGGTCTCCGCAGCAGCCCCGGGCCGAGCGGCCTTTACTGCGGTGCTGGCTGGGGGCAGGGAGGATGCCGGTGACTGTGATGATGACCACTTCCCGTTACCCCTTCAGCTTCCCCCTCTCTGCTGTCCCTTCTCAGCACGCTCCGCCGCCACGCGCGCTCGCCCCTCCGGCCGGCCGGGAGAGTCGCCGCGGACTTTCCGGCCCCACGCGCGGCTCCGCCCACGCCCACCTCTTCCCCCCTTCCCCCTCTTCCCCCTTTCCGGCCCCACGCGCGGCTCCGCCCAGGGCCGGCCGGCCACGGCGCTGTCACTAAAGCAGCAGCCCCGATCTTCCGGGAACACAGCGGCGCTGCCACCCTTGATCAGCGGCGCTGCCCTGGACTTCGAGCCATCCACGGCCCGCCGGCTCCGGCGTCCCCTGCGCTGCCCCTGCTCAGCATCCTGCGGGGCCCTGCGTCCTCCGCAGTCCTCGCGGTGAGCGCTGCTGGAGGGCTGTTCTGCGCCTTCTTGTTTCCGGTCATTCTCTTCTCCGGCTGGTTCCCCGCACTAGGTACCTACGCGCTGTGACGCCCGCCCTACAGCCAGCTCTCCGGCTCGTTTATCTACCCGTCCTCACCAGATGCCTGTGTGCGCCCCGTGCACACCTCAAACTCAGTGTCTTGCACCCCGAATTGACCTCTTCCCCCTTGCATTTTCTACCCCAGGTGGTTAATCCACCACCCACAACTGCGGTTGCTAAATTGAAATTTACTAAAAGATCAATGCAGTGACTTAAAAGGGGTAATTGCATGATATGTCAACCAAACCTCAATACACTTGTGAAAAAAAAAGATTCTGTAAAGCGGGTCAGGCAGTGCATGCCCTGTATCAGAAGGCTCAAAACCAGGTTTCCCTGGACACTGGACAACAGGGGCGGTTCCACAAAAAGATCTCTGCCAGCTACTGTCCAGCCCCTCAAGGGAACTCCTAACGGGGAGCAGCCAGTGCCGCTGGTGTTGGGGATCGAGGACCCAGCCCTCACTCTCCACCACTCCTTGAGCGAGCTGGAGGTCACCAGGGCCACCGCTCCTGTAGCAGGCTGAACAGTGGCCCCAGAGATATCAGATCCCAATCCCTGGAACCCGGAAATGTCACATTATTGGGCAAAAGCTGCTGGCGGTGAGATTAAGTAAAGGAGCTGAGATGTGAGAAGGTCCTGGAACATCCAGGTGGGCCGGAAGGCTGTCACATGTGTCTTTATAAGAGAGGGTGAGGGAGCTTTGCTCACAGGTACACACACACACACACACACACACACACACACACACACACACAGAGGCGAGAAGAGAGCAGAAGGAGAATTGGAGATCTGGAAGACTGGAGTGACGGGGACACAAGCCAAGGGACCCCAGCTGCCACGAGAGCCTGAGAGGCACAGGGGGTGGACTCTCCTGCGAGCCCCAGGGGGGTCACAGCCCTCCTGCACCTTGATTTCAGCTCAGCGACTCTGACACTGGACGTCCAGCGTCCAGAACTGTGAGAAAACTTGCTGGGGGTTGTTGGTTAGAGCGGTCCTTGGAAATGTATTTGGCCACGAGAAGAAATGGAGGCAATATACCCTGTTTAGACACTTCCCTGTCATAACAAACTTTAAAACAAAATAGGTCTCTCATTTATCCTAATAAATATGCCTTCCTTACAATCCGAAAAGCCAGACTCCAATTCTTGGAGTGCTCAGAATCCCACACTAGAACGTGGAGGTGCTGGGTGCGAGGCCAGCCCGCAGCCCACCGCCTTCACACCTCGCTTCTGGATCCTTCCACACACACTCCAGAGTGTGTGTGTGTGTGTATGTGTGTGTGTGTGTGTGTGCGCGCACCCAGAGGGCATGCCCACACTCCCATCGTGCCTGCCATCCGAACACAGCCGCCCCCTGGGCAACCCTCAGGTCTGGGAACATGACCACGGTGCCCTGCTTTCAGAGCTTAGATCTGTCGGTTCTTAGAGGTTCAGGAACATTTAGGAAGACAATTCTGGGGTCCTGGGCACTCAGAGCGTCGTGGGATGGGAGTGCAGCTCAGGGTGGGCATGTCCTGCCCCTGTGACTGGCAGAATTCTAAGGTGACTGTGAGATTTCCTGCATCCTGCATATCCTGCACAACTCTCAGGACTTTGAATGTAACACATGGATATCTTTCTACTGTAATTAGGTCGTGTTTTACAGTACAGTGGACCTTAGAATAGGAAGTTTATCTTGCTGGGCCTAACACAATCGCATGAGCCTGTAAATGAGAGTTTTCTTCAACAGGTGCCACAGAGGTCGGAAGCACAAGAAAGATTCGCTGTGTCTCTGCTGGCTTGAGGAGGGGAGGGGCCGCACAGGCAGGTTCAGGATCTGACAGGAAGGAAGCAGAGCTCTCAGTCCTACAACCTCAAGGAATTGAATTCAGCCAACCACAGACAGCTTAGAAGTGGACTTTTCCTCGGTGTCCTCAGACAAGAACTCAGCCCTCTGACATCTTGATTTAGGCCTGTGGGGCTGGATTAGCTTCTGCTGTATAACAAGTAGAAACGAATACATTCCACAGGGAAGCTTGCTGTCAGCAGAGGGATAGAACAGGACAATTTTAAGTTTGGGGTCCAGAGAAGTGGGCACCCTATTGTGTAGGTCAAAGGCCAGTACTGCCCCGCTACTCCTAAATATAAATTCCGCTCACACTCACCACCCTATGTTATGTCTGCCTGGTGTATATATTTGCAAAGGTTGGGTCTCATGCTACATCCTAGCTGCAAGGGAAGCTGGGAAATTAGGTTGTAATACATACGGGAGGGATGAAGGTTATAACAGGGCATGCCTGTCATCCCAGCACTGGGGAGGCTGAGGCAGGAGGATCACTGTGAGTTTGAAGCCAGCCTGGGCTACATAGTGAGTTCAAGGCCAGCCTGAACTACATAGCAAGACCCTACCTCAAAAAAAAAAAAAAAAAAAAAAAAAAAAGGCTATAACAGAGGGATTTCCCCAGACATAGGCTGTCCAAACTGTGATAGAACCAAACTTACTGAGCTATTTATCAGGCGCAAAGATGCTAATCCATGTCCCTTGTTAAGAACAGAACCTGCACATGCTAAGCACTCAGCAATACTCCGTAAGTATTATTATATGTGAAGCAGAATCTATTTCTAACATGACAATATGGGCATAAAACATTGACGTACTCTAGTCGTTTGAACATTTTCTTGGTGAGATGTCGCAGGGCCAGGGCATGGTGGGAATAACCCTCGTGGATGCCCAGAAGCCTCAGGACAAAGGTCAAGACTGCCCACTGTCTGGGCCCTGCTGGCCTCTCCAGTCCCTGTGTGGCCTCCCTTTCAGGCACTGCACATGCCAGCCAGCTGGCACACATGTGCTCCTGCGGATCATCCTCTTCCTGGTGCTGTGGGAACCCCCCGGGAGGGCCGGGGATGCCCTGCCCCAAGGGGCAGGCTGGCTAGAGTGGTCCCGGGGCCTATGGGTGTGCCGAAAAGGGGAGAACTAGCCACCCGGCTGCTCTGCCTAGAGCTAAAGTCATTCATTCAGAAGGAACTTGCCCTTCCCTCCCTCCCCTTCTCCTCCCCCACTTTCCTCCCCGCCTGCTTTCTCTGTTTCCAGCTCCTCCAATGTTTTGATGTCACACCTTAACAAAGGGGCGCACAGATGGTAGTGGCTGGGGTGTTTAGTCGCTTGCTTGACACCCCTAGCAATGGCGTCAGCGCACAGCTTGCCTCTCCGAGGCTGGTTCATGGCACTAAAGCACATTATCCACCAGAGGCGTGAGTCCGCCTCACCCCTGCAAACCCGTCGGTCCTGCCTCCAGAGCACACCCGGCTCTGTCCACCTCCCCGGACCCATCTCCCCACTCCCGCCTGGGCACCGCCTTCCCTCTGCCCGGCCGCCCGGCAGTCCCGCGGGCCCTGCGCCTCCTTCTCGCCTCGCACGGTCTTCACCCCGCTCGCGGCTGGTTGCCCCTGTGGACACGACTCCGATGGCTGCATGTCTCGTGTCAGACTTTCCGGAGCCGCTGAGAACGGGGCTCCGCCGTCCCCCGCCCCGGCTCCCGCTCGGCCCTCTCTCAGGTGTTCTGGGGCCCGCTGCGCTGGCAGCTGTGTTCTGCTCCTAGGCGTTCCGTGCGCCCTGGGGCTGGGCTCCCCGCCTGCAGTCGCTCTTCTCGGGCCGCCCCTGTGCTCCGCAGTCCCTCATGTCGCCAGAGGCAGGGCCGGGAAGAGCCTGCGGTGACTGTCCTCGTGTCCCTGCTCCCCGCGGGGCCGGAGGAGCCCTGCGCTGGCTGCATCTGCTCCCCCATGTCCTCCGGGGTCTCTTCCACCTCCACTTCGGCCTCACTTCAGCTTGGCCAAGGAGGTCCCACGTCAAGGGCGAGGCCAGCCGCACCAGTGCCGCCAGACCCCTCCAGCGAAGAGGACTGGGAGGAGGAGAAGTGCGGCTGAGTGGAGTTGGCGCTCCCGTTCCTCTCTCAAACTTCCCGGCTCTTCCCGGGGGGTTGGATCATCTGACAGGACCGGACTCTGGGGAAGAGGGAAACTTCCCAGGAGAATGCAAATAGCTTCTGTTTCTCTGCTTCCAAGCCTCCTGCGGCTCCCAGCTCACTTGGAAAAAGACCCAAAGAGCTCATCAAGGCTGTGGGTGGCATGGCAGGAGGCTTGGTTTAGCGCAGGCCACAAGCAGACCGAATGGGAGAGAAGTATCAGGTGAGCCGGCAGCCGCCATGGGCCCAGCAGCATCCGTCAGTGGGGAGCCAGGTTCCTGGAGGGGCTGAGGAAGGGGCCTAGGAAAGGACACAGAGGGCCCGGCCGGGGGCTCAGTCTCCACAGCCCACCGCAAGGCTGAGACAAGCCAGGACAGCAGAAGTAGCCTTCACAGTCCCTGGAATCTCTAGTTTTGGAAAAGACATTGTCATAGATACTTGGGTTTTGTCTGTCTATCCTCTGCGCTTCTACTCCGCGGTTCTTCCTGTAACAGAATTCTTTCCTGAGAAAAATCCACTGCGCACCTCTCACTCCACAATGTCTCACTACTTCCTGCCACAGAAACCAGCACATGACCCAGGCCTGGCCAATGAGATGACACCAAGGCTGATAGCCACAATGATTGGTTCAAGAATGGGTATGTAG